ACACTGACAGAGGGTGCTTTAACAGCATATTTTGTTGTCCAGAGGGTAACTAGAAGCCAGCCCTGAATCAGTGCTAATTAACAATAGATGAAATGCAATAACAGTTATCTGAGAATCATAATAGCTTACCTATATACCATATATACTCATGTATAAGATGAGTTCTTCAACACATTTTTAATGCAATTTTTGTGGTAAAATCAGGTGCCTTGGTGGATATTTGGGTTAGCTTATACTCGAGTATATACGGTATTTACATTTGTAAAACATTTCTATTATCCCTAGTTTTCCCAAGACCTTTAAAGTTTGCATAACTGTCTCCATTAAACAAACCTATTTTCTAATAGAGGTCTCAAGCTTTCCCTAGGTTGCAGGTGCATAGCAAATAGTTGGTCCTTTGGGGGCTCTTTGCAATCCATACAGTGTCTTTAGTCCTGAGTTGTAAAGGGGCAGAGACCCGAGGCAGCGCTGTGCTTGTAACTGAAGTGAGAAGCAGGAGTGAGGAAAGAAAGAGGGTAAGACCCTTATCCTGAAAGTTTCTCTATATGGTCACCATGAGGAGGCTCCAGAGGGAAGAGCAAACTCATGCCCGTGGATGTGCACTGAGTTACATGGGTTAGGGATGTAAACGGTGGCCATTTATCAGCGGGAGAGTCACAAAACAATACCGTGTGAGGAAGGTGTGTGTGACATGTAGCAGCCACATAAGGCCATTTTTACTGAGCAACCAGTGTCTGGGATGAGCTTTTCAAGATTTTTAGCACCAGCTGGGGAGACCCACCACCCTTAAACTGCATTTCTTCAGTCCCAAGTTATGCTCCTACACTAGAGTGGTCACGCCCAAACTGAAACCCATGGACACTTACTCTATTTATTCTATGTAAGTACAGTGGTCGGCCCCTTTGTGACCTTGACGTGGGTTCAATAGAGGGAAAATTATGTCCACTGCAGTGCCCGGAAGATTGGCTCTGTGTAATTTATGTGGCGGTCATGTGCCATTGCCTGAAAATGAGCTGTGCCTCCATCACATTTACTCCTCCAGAGGAAGTGCATAAAAATGCAAATCTGTAAGAATCATGTCATTTTCAGCTAGATTTACAAAGTGGTGCCATACAGGCAGAAGAGCGTTTTCAGGCATGATTGTAACCAAGTTTGAGGGGCTTGAAAACCCACTAATTATTGGAGAATGTATAAAAGCATTTGCTTTTCTGGATTCTTCTAAATCAGAAGACCTGGCTACCTGACCCAGTGTGGCAACAATAGAGGGAATCCTCATCATGTACTTGGGCATTAACAGGAAACCTTCTTGGCCAACTTGTATTGCTTGGCTAGTTCCTAATATGCCTTTATGCCCTGTTTGAGAACTACACTCGAATCAATCATAAGGCCTTAAAAATCTCAAGTGCAGACACTATTAAGTGTAAGGAGCCACTTCCATCCTAGCCCACAGTGTAAAACTACATGGCCAGACTTCTGGCATAATGGTTGAGATTTTCTGCTTTGCTCTTTTGTTTGAACTTCTAATTATATCTCAAGTTCTTCCCAAGAGAACACCCTCAGGCCAAGTGTGTCCTGGAGCTTGGCCCACTGCTGCAGGGGTCTCGGAGAGCCTTATCACATGCTGATTTCTGGGAGTGCCACTGGGAAACCACTGGAATTTCTCCCTGGGATATGGGAGGGGCCTGCCATCTACACTGTCCACTGACTCCTCCCCTCTGGTTTCTGAAGACCAAGAAATGGAATCTCTTGGAAGACATTTGATGACCATTCAGAACACAGAGATACAAGCCTCCACGAATGTGCTTTCAGATATTTTGGGTCTAGTTAAGCTCCCGGATTGCAGAATGATGCCTTCACCATGATATGCAGGCAACCCTATCTCCAACTTTACTTTTGGTAGTGTGATGGGCCACAAAGAGATGGAAAGGGTACAAGAATCGAGACAACCTGGAAATGCTTCCCTGGGAAAGCAATGTCATGAATTCGATTTCCTAAGGAAATGACACCAAACGTCCCAGGTGCTCCTCCAAGGAATATTCATCGACATTTCCAAGCCGTGAGGCTCCACTTCTGACCATCTGATGCAAACTCGGCCCCGTTGCTGTAGCTGCGAACCCACCAGGAATTATTTGAGTTGCTTAACCCGGAGTCTTTTCCCATTCCTCTGTTGCTTCCTTTCCCAAAATATCTGCTTTGCCTGGGTGGCTTTGAGAGCCTGATAAGGCTTCCTGCTTTTCCAAGAGATTTGCTGGAACCAACAGGATCTTTTTCGTGGCTTTTCTTCCACCATCTTTTCTGTGTTGAGGCTGAGAACGTCCATCCAACAGGTAGTCTGGCCTGAGTTTTTCCTCCTGACACGCCTGCGAGTCTGCTCTTGAGTTATCGACAGCAGATGGAGATGGGGGTTGGGAGAACACTGCTTGGACTAATAGGATCTCTTAAGCTAGTGCTCTCATTCTGTCTAGTGATCTATTCGCCAGCGACTAAAACAAATGCATTCAGAAAAAAGACAAATGTAATGAACTACCTTAATAGATAAAAAGCAAGCAAACAAAAACAGTCAAAGCACCACTCATTGATCACAGATGAGAAGATGCTGTGGCAGCTAGTAAAATGACCCTGATTTGCTTTACCAGGAAAAACAAATTTTGACCTATTCATTCAAAATCCTTACCAAGCAGAGATTTGGGGGGTTGGGGGTGGCAGAAGCATGTGCATTGAATAACTTCCTCTCTATTTACATTGAAATATGTAAGCCATTCTGTTTTACCACTTTTCTGTATGCCTATGGGTACTGGGAGGTGGAGATTTTTATCACTGCCACTGGAGCCCTGATGGTGTAGTGGTTATGCGTTCAGCTGTGATCTGCATGGCTGGCAGTTCAAAACTACCAGCAGCTCAGTGGAAGAAAGACTGGGCTTCCTAGTCCAGTAAACAGCTAAAGTCTCAGAAACCACAGAGGGTCCCTGGGCGGCAGCGTTGTGTTTAGTTTGGGTTGTGGTTCGTCCTGAGCTGCCGCATGCCTTGCTGAACTAGTTGCACAACAAGGTTCCTCTCATCCTATTTTCTTATCTGTATAAACAAGCTGGAGGGGACTTGCATGCCAGAACTAAGGTTTTCATCTAGGAGGTGACAATTCTTGAAAAGAGACAATGACATTTCATCCAGAAAACTCATTGGGAATGGAACTGCCAAGCTTAATTAGAGAGAAACTCATATTGTGATATGATACTTAAGCTCCCATGAACGAGTGCAGACCCTAGGCAGGGAAGAATTGTGGTGTATCTCCTCAAATAAACAATGTTTTATCCCCGATAACTTATGATATCAGCGACAATGGCAGGCTGACATAATACACTGCACTATAAAATCGCTATATTGCTTTGTGAGAGGTACATTGGATTTGACAGAAAAAGATGTTGTGTTGTGGCGAAAATGTTCTTCATCATTCCATAAGGGAAAAAAGGCAAGCAGTGAACTTTTCAATGTGCTTGCCAAATCCATTAATGGCTAAACCTAATCACACCAAAATGTCAACACATAGACACACTCTCATGCTGATAAGCATTTTTCTGACAAAATATGCCATAATTCTCCCATTACTATGAGGATCCCAAATGAAATCTTTTGCATTTGCTTTAATAATCATATAATTCACTGTACTTTTGCACAAGCTTAAGTCAATATTAGTCATACCACAGTGAGCTCTTTATTACCAGAAATAAGTAATATAGTTGTTATACCATAAATGTTCAGAATCAATAGGCAGATGGTAGCTACTGAATTCCACACATTGGCACACTTTAAAGTTCACACAATTTGGATAAATCTGAATTGAGTTTGATGACATTTACAAATATTTGCAATGCCCTATTAGATCATTGCTTGATTCTTATGTGCATTTTCTTCCTTGTTATTTTCTCCAGGTCTTTTAAAGGGCAGCTGTTGAGCACACTGACTAAAAAGAAACTAAGAGTCTCTTGTTGACTGATGCTCGGATGCTCAGCCCAGTCTAGTCGCTCTCCTTGAACATGCACCGTGCCTTCTGGTGTATCAGAATCTCTGAAAAAATCCCTCAGAAAAGATTTCGGCTACTTTTTTCTTTTAATTTAATATTTTCTACTAATACATTTGAGCATACAATTCTTCTTCCACATTGTATGATAAACTATTTTCGATGATTCTTTGGGTTTATGATTTCAGTTTTACTCCAAAGTTTACAGATAATGGAACTGGATGGTGACCTCCAGAAATGGCAATTTGCTATTACATCTTCATACTCTTATACTACCATCTGGCAAATGTTCCTGAATGTGCTCAGGAAGCCTCACCCAGAAATCTGTGATGACGAGGGCTCTGTTTCCATCTCTGGATGCTTTTACAGGCCTTCACGGTGTAGAGTCAATCCACCTGGCTAGTCTGCTTTTATGTTCAATGAGATTTCAGGCTGTCTTGGTATATATAAAGAACCCCGGATTTTATCTGAACATTAACATTAAGGAGTTGAGATAGGAGAATCTGCTGTGTTGCCAAGTTAATAATGGACCCTAATGATTTATATTCCAGAGAAAAGGTTTTGAGGAAAAATAGAAATATTTGAGAGATGTGAGGACAGGTGATAGGAATAGAGGGTAAACGTACTCTATTCCCAGGTAAAGGAGAATCTCAACAGATGTGTTGTAATTAGAACTGTCTGCGAACTCATTCTCAGGAAGGGAAGATGAGCCATCCTGTGTATTGAGAAAGGTGTCCTGTCCGTATCATCTAAGAAATCACCATGGAAACTCAACAACGGGACTTGGATTCCCTCTTGGAGACTGAGGGTTAAGCAGTTAGAGAAAGGATTCTGGTTTTCAAAGCACTGGGTTTGGAAACAGGGTCTGTGAAGGAGACCTTGTGGAAGGAAGGCTGGCAGACTAGAAGTTTCCAGGTTGGATCTTCTAGACCTAGTTAAAGTTGAGCAGGGGAAAATAAATGATAAATAAATGAGGACAAACAGGTTTAAAAAGGAGTTAGTTACCACTTTAATAGGGCTGTCCAACATTTGGTCATACAGATCATTCTGAAAATCCATCGCTTTCACAGCCTTCCCCTCTCACCAGAAGAGATTGGAACACTCAGAAACAAAGAAAGCAAACACAGAAAGGGATGTCATGGTCAGACTGGTTGCTACAGCACTAGGCAGTTAACGATAACTGGAGAGAACCAGAGGACGTTTCTGCAGTAAAGGACAGCTATACAAAGCCTCAGGACATTGTATTTACAGGGCTTATTATTAATTAATACGGGGATCCAAATTCTGCCAAAACTCTGCCAGTCTTAATAGCATGGTTGAGCAGCTCTCTTTCTTATCAGAATCCTCACTTTCTTATCTGTGGAGAAGCTAGGAGAAGCTAGTAGTTCTAAAATTATTTTCCTGGAAGAGGTTAGAACGGTTATTCTATATCAATTGAATATAAAGTATGGTTAATGTAAGCCAAGCTTGCATGCTAGTATTGCACAAGGTAGAAAGCAATAAACCAGGTTGATATGCTTCCTTGGACCATCCGGTAGAAATAGAAGGAAGCTCTTGATTTAGTAATGTCATGATGCCTCAAATTCCAGGAGTCCACACGTGTAGCTGGTATTCCAGGATGAGTGCCATGCGGAATTCTCCAAAGGGCACATCTCTTCCTTGCTTATAGTAAAAGAAGTGACCAAAAAAACCAAAAAACCCCACAAAAGCAAAATTCAGAGAGGTACACCATCCGCTCAAACTGTGGTACTGTTCATTTCTTGAAGAGAATATATAATATTTCAAAATATTATATATACATATATTTAAAATGGTACAAAGTAATTATAGATCCAAATTAGGAGATAGTTGCTTGTTCTTCAAAATCACAAAAAATTCCACTGAGAAGCCCTGCCCCCTTTTTAAACCCACTTTCCACGGTGTTGCCAAGAATTCCAAGTCTTCTCAGATAGGCTATTTTGTTACACCCAGTAAAAGCTCTGTAATTATCTGGTAACCAGTCAAAGTGCAAATAAGAAATCCATTTGGCTTGTAAATGTGTAAGATGTTTTGAATTCTTAAAATGTAGTATTTTCTGCAGGGTTAATTTTCCTTCACTAGGATAACAAATGTTTCCATTAGGTTCTTGGGTGAATCTGAAAGCAAAGAGAGAAAGAAATTTCAGGGAGGAAACTACAAAAAGAAGGCATACACGCGCACACACACACACACACACACACACACACACACACACACACGATGAGATAGAAGATGAGAGTATCTTAAAGTTTTAGACTGTTGCTTCTTAATGATCTGAAGAAAAGAAAAAAACAAAACAAAACCCCACCAAAACTTTAGACCAGTGGTTCTCAAATGAAGAGCAAAGGTTATTGACAGACTCCCATATTCTTATTGGCATATTCTTCATATATCATATAATTCAATAGCTTAATCATCATATTAGGAAGAGTTGTGCAATTATCTTTGTAATCAATTTTTAGAACATTTTATTTTTTCTTGTCGATATTGTTGTTAGCTCTCCATTTCCAACAGGCCACCATATTTTAACCAATGTATTAATTTTCACAACAACTGAAGAGATTGCTTCTTGGAGTAGTGTCTATGCAGGGTCGCCTTTGTGGAGATATGATTTGTTCAGTTGCACAAGACTCTGATTTTCGAAAAGCTTCATACTTAGATTAATGAGATGTGTCACCATATTCATATTCTTGATAATTCTGGAACAGAGGCCTTGAATTTTCCTTTTGCCCGGGTCCCTGTAAATTATATAGCCAGTCCTTAGTCTCTCTGATGAAAATTTGAACTGCGTAGGTCATTCTAAGTGGAGTGTACTTTGTTGTAAGAGACATGGCATCAGATGAAGCAGTGCCAAGATTAGACCACATAACTTTAAGAAGAAGGGAGGTCTTTTTAGGGGAGGAAGTGGTCTATTCAAGGAAGGACAAGTATTCAAGAGTGATGAAGAGCAGAGTGCTATAATTGTAGGTGCGATTTTTCCATTTCAACATGGCCCTCCAACTCGTAATCGAAAGGACACTGCAAAGAGGTACACTGACTGAGAGCACAAACCACGAGTCTAACAGGCTGGATGGCTCTAGAGTTGTGGGAAATACGGCCTTTTTCTTCATCATCTCTTAATCCTTCCATATATCTCAGAAATACGGTGTTTTTAGGTCAGGGTCTGGGAGTTTGTTTTAAGCTTCTAGGGTGATGCAGGGCAATGATAAAAAGTTTACATTCAAATTTTGTTTGGACTAGGCTTAGAAGGTAGAAGAAATCTCTATAGGTGTCGTTTTCTTTTCCTCTACTTGCAACTGACTGATCCTTCCAATGGTTTTCTACATCCCAATGGTTTCAATCACCCTCTGTTTTCACTGCCCTCTTTTTTTACCAAAAGGAGGGGGAATGTGACATTTATAAAATGGAACCAAATGGTCTTTCTCTTATCGATACCCATCTAACTAGGCTTTGTTCCAGGGCAGGCAGGGCCTGTGTCGTGCCTACTGTGATGGGGTCAAGACCTTAGCATGCTATGTTTATGTAGCGGCGACACTTAGCTCTATTTATTAGGTCAAGATACAAATACGTCCACTCGGACCAAGGAGCAATTATGATAATATAAGTGGGTTTCTCCCCATTTCTATTCATTTCCAAGCCTCTCTTTTTTTTTAAAACAGCAGAATTAGAGGTCAGAATTTTAAAGAGCCTACTCCCACCACATGTCAGACCTGGAAGGATTTTGAGGGACAGAATAATGAAGATGTGAGAGCCGACACTTACCATGCCAGTAAGAACACAAAACCTCCCGGGTGAGATTAGAATGAGTGGCTATATGTAAATTAAGAGTGGCCATAGATGGGTGGCCCAGTCACAAAAACTTCCATTCTATATCATGAGCATACAGTAGGCAATCTGAGGTCCACTAACTCTCATCATTTCATAGAATATCTTGACTTTCTTAACATTGTATAAAACTGTTGATTTTCCAATTAGTCTGGTAGACATTTGTATATTTAGTTAGATGGAATTTTAGTTATTTGATTCTTCCAAGGTGTTGTACTAGCTGATGGTCTCCTAATTTTCTGCTGTTTATTTCTTTTCAAGTGATCCCCCCCCCAGTTTCACCTGCATTCTTTTCTTTTCATTAAACAACTCTTGTTCAGTTTTTAGCTATGAATTATTACAACATTGTCAAATGACTCATTTCCTCTATGGAAAATTCTGTCATTCTAAATTAATTTATTGTCCCTGACTGCACAGGCATAGATTTGTTCCCAAGTATATGAGAATTGCCTTATAACCTTATGCTCTTGATATATATGCATAAAGAAAATAAATCAATTAACAGGTCTCAAAAGCATACGAAAAGATCCTCTGGGGCAATCTTTGCCTAGTTACCCTTATATTTTCCTCCTCTTTACTGTGAGCCCAGTCAATTGTCACCCAGATCCAGTCTCCCCAAGGTTCTTATTTTGATTGAGATCTGATACCCAGGCTATCTCAAATTCTAGGGATATTTGGTCATTTAGAAGAAACACTGAATTCCTACCTTATATCCTCTTTTAAAAATGAACATTATAAAACATTTTTAAATTTGATCACATTTCAAAGCCATCTTTGTTTCTGTATTAAATTAAAAAAACCCAAAACATTTATTTAAGCAAATATTTACATTTCAAAGACTGAGAATTACAGCTTATGATTTCTCTTTTAGGAAGATTTTGGGTGAATTTTTTTTTATCACATAGAAGAAAAAAAATTGAGGCCCCAGGTTTTTTTTTTTTAATTTTTTGGTTTGGGGCCCTTTTTCCCACCGTTTTGGTTGCCTTGGTTTTTTTCAGTTTCATTGACCCGTTTTTTTTTTTTTGGTTGCCTTGCTTTGTTGGGCTTTCTTTGGCGGGCCAAAGTTGTTTTTTTTTTTTTTCGTTTTTATTTAACTTTTAATTCGTTCTTAAGGCGGGGGGGTTGTTGTTTTGGGGTTTTTTTTTTGGGTTGTTACTTTTAGGTTCGGCGGGGGGAAGGCCCCGTTCCTTCTTTTGAGGAAGGTTGCGGCCTTTTGTTCCCGAGAGCCTCACCTCTCCGAACCCTAGAGGGGCAGTTCTCGCCTGTGCGCTTGCGTCGCTCTGTGCTAGCATCGACGTGATGGCGGTGAGTTTGGCGTTTTAATCCTAAAGAGGAGCTCTCTTAGATGAGAACAGAACAACGAAGTCAAAAGACTCACAGTTAAACTACCTCTGAGGGGCTCAAGCCCCCAGCTGCTCCAAGCTGTCTCTGCTTCTCGGAGTTACAATGCCAGAAACCCGGAGCGCTTCTATGCTGTCAGACAGGCTGGCTCGGAGCTGCCCCTGGCTGCATGGTAGTGGTTTAGTTTAGTTGTGTTTTTTTTTCCTAATTAAACTAAGCATTTTAAAAGAGAAATCACTAGAGTAAATACTTGAAAGATACAGGTAGATTTGTGCTTCGATGGTGAAAATGCAGAAGGCATCTAATGAAAATGACTACGGAACCTATTTTCAGTGCATATGCTGTAAGGGATAGTGTTGACAGGACACCGAGACAGCTCCTGCCTCTGTCATCGAGGTAGAATTGGCACGTTTCATGCTTCAGGTGCTTATTTCATTGTGAATTTCTGGGGAGGCTGGTAGGAGAGAGAACGTGCGCTACTGGAAGTGTTTGAATTCTTTCAAGACATACAAAGTGGCTTTCTCCAGCGTCTTTTCCCTTCGCAGAAGACAGACTTGGGGATTCTGGGGTGAGTCATGTACAGCTCACACGACTGGGGAGCAGGCTCTTTTTCCCTGCTTGAACTTAATGTGCACCTCAGAGCAGGTCCTGCGTGTGCGTTCCAACTCCACCGGAATGGCTATTCACTTCCCCTCTGCTATTGGTTGTCTAGATTGAACGCAGCCCGCCCAAGGAGGTAGTGTGCAGCGGCCTCTAACACCATGATCAGACTCAGGGCACAGCACTTCTGGGATGCTAGACAATGTCTACAGTGCCTTTACAATTTGCCCAATGGGTTTCACTCTACTGAGGCCAAATAAAAGAGAAGTATATAGTTCACCAAAAAGGGGCAGCAATAACAATTTCGTACTTCTGTGAGTTTATAGTCTATCTTTCCAAGAGTTTCCTAGTTGAAGTTCTTGGGAGTACATATATTTAAACCATGACATGATTTGACTTGTGTTCTTTTTCTTTACTGAGATTCAGGTGCATTAGACACCACATGAGCAAGGTCCACTGCCTATCAACAATGATCAATTAGGGATAGGTGATGGAGATTTGATACAAAATGTATCACCAAAGTGTTTAGAACAAAGGTGGTTTTAATGTGATTTTCCTGTCCATAATTTAGAGTGGCTTAAACAAACTAACTTGTGAGGGTATCTTCAAATTATTTAATATAATTGTTTTAAAGAAAATACTACTAAAGAGAAAAGTGACTTCTACACTCCACCGACTAATTAAAATGCTTCCTGTGGGTGAGTGGCACAGACAGGGCTCATTTTTGGATATTCTTTGCTGTAAGCCTTTCCTCGAAGTGAAATATAATAATCCACACTGAGGTTCTTGGGAACGTGTTAACAAGCCAGGGTGGTTCAGAAAGCATCCCTGCTGCAGTCGAAAGGTACAGACGCTTACTGGTTATTGTGGCTAATGCAGGCAATCAAATTTGACACACAAAATCTCTGCCCTCCTATATTTTACACAGAAAAGTGTCTTAGATGCTATTATGAAGCTTACTTTGGATTTCTTTACCACAGAGCAGAAGACATCTTTGCATAACAAAAAATATTTGTAAAAACAAATATTTTCCAGGAAGATAATGTTGAGAAAAAGGATCGAATGAAGGTTCATCATCTTGGAGCCACATCAAAGACGACTCTTGATATTTGAGCTACCCTTTTGGTGGACAAAATGTTTTACAGACTAGGATTTATAACTGGTAGACATGTTTTTTTAAACAAAAAATACATAGTAATATATTAAAATACATGTGTATGTATACATACCCGGGCTGATCTATCTATCTATCTATCTATCTATCATCTATCTATCATCTGCCATAGTTGTGGTAACGATAGTGATTTGTATTAGGGGGTAAATAGTTACCCTTTTAAGTAACCCAAGACAACACCCCTAATTAGAAAACGTTCAGACCATCACAACTTCCTGTGATCCAGCATATATAGGGTAAATAGTGGTCTAATCAGGCCATTCTACCTGCTCTAGTATCATGACATCATGAGACCAAATCTAATGAGTTGGGTAGTTTCACCATAAAATTATGTGTGAACATACCTGCACACACACACACACACACACACACACACACAAACACACACACACACGCGGGGGATTAAAAAGTATGTGGAAAATTGCATTATCTTTTAGTTTCTTACATGAACTTTTTGAAGTCCTCTGTGATTGTATGTGGGAGAAAGATGAGGCTCGCTACTCTCATAAAGAGTTACAGTCTCAGAAACTCACACGGATTTACAGGTTAACTATGATTCAGAATCGACTTAATAGCAGTGAGTGAGGGTGAGGGTGTGTATATTTCCCCTGACACATAACTCATTTGAAAAACTGTAGTAAAGACATACGTAAAAAAAACATTTGCAGTTTCCATAATCTTCACACATACAATTCAATGCCATTGATTATGTTCATCATATACGGAGCCATCATCTAGTTCATCCCTAACTTTTGTCATCATCCTTAACTGAAACCTCAATGTCTGCTAAGCTTCATGTCTTCGTTGCCTCTTCTGTCTTACCTGCCCTGGGACTAAAGCATTTTGGTCCCTGCGTACTGCCTGCGAGAGACTTGGTCATGCAATGGCTGCTAAACAAAAAGCAGGTCTGAATTCACCCTCTTCTCTCCAGGAGACAATTTTAGCAGTCTGCTACAGTAAAGATTATCAGACTTGGAAGCTCCCTTGGGGTAGTTCTCCTGTGTCCTACACAAAAGGGTTGCTATCATTTGGTATTGACTTGATTACAATGGCTGTATACTTAACTAAGGCATCCTGGCTATAACTGAAAGTTTGGTGGTTCAAACACAGCCAGCAGCTCCCTAGGGTAAATGATGGGATGGTCGACTTGTTCCTATAAATATTTCAGTCTACAAAACGTTGAGAGTGAACGTTAGACTCTGTCATGTGGGGTAACTATGCTTTGAAAATCTACTGGATGGTACCCAACAGCACCACACACCTAGTTTAGGTGTTTTATATAATAGATATGTAGATATGTAGTATTTGTACTTTACTGACTTACTTATTTCACTTAACTGAATATTTTCAAAGTTCATCCATATCTTAGCATGTGTAAGAACTTCCTTTCGTCTTATGAAAGATTCCACTAGGTATGTGTTACATTTTATTTATCCAGTCATCTGTGGATGGACAATTAGGCTGCTTCTTCCTTTTGGTTATGGCAAATAGTGCTGCTATGAACATTGTCTTTTATATTTCTGTTTTGAAGTCTTTGTGGTATATCTACATTAGGATTGCAGTTATTGGATCACATGGTAATTCTCTCGTTAACTTTTTGATAGGTAAATATTTATACCAATCTCAAATATTTTGAAGATCATTCCTGATACAATCAGAGAACATAAGGAATGATTATTCACTATATAAAACTTTTTCATTTCCCCAAAAGTTCACCAAAATATTTCCTTAAAGAACCATCTGATAATGGGTCTTCTTAGATGCCAATCTTTTCAGCTAGCCATTGGAATGAATTAAGTCCCTTATTTTATTTTCTATTCTGAGCATGGTAGAATTTCTCAGAATAAATGGTTGAATTATCAAAACAATTCTCACTGGTTTTCTTTCTTTGGGCTCTGGTGACCTAGCTTTACTTATGAGCCAGTAACAGAAACACTAAAATGCTCAATATGGGAAAGCCAAGTTCAATTTCCATTTTTTCCTTGATGGATAAACACTAATCTGCATAGTTAAGACTGTCTGCTGTCAGAGATATGGCTCCCTGTTTAGGGTTCCCTGCATGTTGTTCACACCGTGCAAAGATAAATAGTAGCATTTGTAACATGCACTAGACATTTGAAATAGATGAACTTACCCTTGTGGTCTTAATTTTATTGCCTGTAGCACACATCCATCCAGAATTATCAGGTAAGGTCTTACATTCTTCTCCTTCTAGGCAAGGCTCCATTTCACACCACCATTTCCCAATCACTATGGATGCTGTGCACACACAAAAACAAGAAACAACTGTGTTTGTGATTCATACAAAGTCGATCTTGGCCTTTTCCCCTCTGCAAATATGAATACTTTTCAAGTATGCAAAGAACTATTAAAACTTCCATGGCTGGGGAAAAATTGGATTAATAAGTCATAGTATATGAGGATGTATCCCTTCAAAACCAGATGTGATGTGAAGGGACACTTAGAGTTCACTCCACCAGGTCAGACTGTTAATCAAGCTTTCTATTTAGAGGGTCTGAAGAGATTGCATAACAGTGTGCAACAAAAAAAGGCCAGATATGTGGCAGATGGGGGACTGGTTTTGCCACCGTGACAATGCACCTGCTCACACAACCATCTCAGTGTGCCAGTTTTTGGCAAAAAACCATATGCCTCTCTTGCCACACATACCTTACTCACCTGATCTCACTCTGTGCAACTTCTTTTTGCTTCTGTAAATGAAGAGGGACATGAAAGGATTTGACGTAGATAAAGGATTTGATGAAGTAGAAAAGGTGAAGGAAAAAAATGAGAGAGGTGCTATCAGCCATCCAAACAGATGAGTCTGAAAAATGTTTTCAAGAATGGAATCACAGATTTGACAAATGTATTAAGTGTCATGGAGAGTACTTTGAAGGTGATAAGGTTAAGGTTATTTGTTTCAGTCAAATGTACATTTTATAGGGGCTGTGGTCTCCTTTTAGGGAGACCAAGTGGTGCAGCCGTGGTTACAAATAAGGCTACTATCTGAAAGGTAAGCAATTCAAAACCACCAGCTGCTCCTCAAGATGAGGCTTTTTACTCCTGTGAAGACTTACAGGATCAGAAACCCACAAAGGTAGTTCTACCTTGTCCTATAGGGTTCTGATGAGTCAGAATCCGGTCCTTGGCCGTGAGTTTGAGCGAGGCTGTGGTTAGGCGTTGAGCCTAACCCAATTATAATGTAACTGCAAAGTCGGTGGTTAAAAGGTAACAAAGATGAGGCTGCCTGCTTCCATCAAGAATCACCACCTGGGAAACCCCACGTAGGATTGCTCTGACTTGGCATGGACTCCATGGCAGGGGGTTTGATGCTGTTTGGTTTGGGCACTCTCCTTTTAATGTGATGCAGATGGAACTCGAGTCTCTGATACAATAGCCTTTTTTGGAGTGGTATTAAGGATTAACATAATTGGAAGCTGGCAGTGAATGTAGTATTTATATTTATAATATAATGTTTTTTGTAATGAGCTTTTCTAAAACCTCTGAGTAGACTCCCTCCTTAAAAACCAAGAAGCCTCATATCTCCCTTAATGTGCTGTGCAAAAAGTGAATTTTGCAAACGTTTCAATAATTCTTGGGGCTCCCCAAGGCGATAGTGCTTCATAAGTCTACCTGGCCTTTCCCATTAACACCCGTCACCATATTTGCTACTGCTTCTTTTGTGACACTATTCCAGCTGACCACATCTCTGGACCAGGACTGTAGGTCTCTATTCACCTGCCAATCACACTCTGCAAATCAGTCTCAGCCCTGATGTGTATTTCTCCCAACAACAAAGAAGCCAAATGACATCTGTTAATGTCATAGAGGATTAATATTAAAATGAAATGGAGTAAACCCTGCAGCAAAGTAGAAGCCCACTGAAATTCTCTATCTACCCAGAATTCACGAGAGGAATTAGATTGCTAGCTTAAAAGCAAAATGGTTCAAACATTCATACATCTGTCTTTAGTCTTTCCGTTTACTCTTTCCTGCCTCCAGTGTTTTTCTTCTCTGAGGATTCAGGGTGCCTCAAACAAATTGCTGGGCAGGATAATATATGCAAATTAATGTGTGCTCTACTGTATTGTCAATTTACAGGATTTTTTTTTCTGAGGCTAATTTTCCTATTCTGGTATTTAAATGTTGCTTTATATGAGTACATGGACCAGGCTCAACCATGTAAGCTGCAACCTCATTTGTTCACGAGTATAGGAAGTAAGATTTTTAAACTCGATTCTACATGTAAAACAACATAGTATCTATGCAAAACACAGTGTTGACAGAAGATATAAATCCTCCACACAATAGAAAATATTTAAGAGAGCTTTTCCTCAAAACAAGTTCTTTTATTTTTCAAAATTTTAACAGTTTTATTGACATACACTTCACATAGCATGCAATGCAATAGTTTAGACATATTAAAAAGAGTTGTACAACTATTACCACAATAAATTTTAGAATATTTTATTCTTTTCATTATTACTAGATCCCTACTTCCTCCAAACCTCTGCTGCCATAACCCCAAGAAACTATTCATCCAGTTACTGTCTTTATAGCTTTACTTATCCTGGATTCATATAAGGAAAAACACATAGATGAACCAAAAATCAAAGCAACAGCAAGAAAAACTCCAACAACAATACTGGCTCACTCACCGCCCTTGAGTCAGTTCAGACTCACAGCAAGCCCCGAGGACCAGGACCAGGTAGAATGGCCCCTGGGGGTTCTTGGAAACCAGAACAAATTTAAAAGAGGCCAAAAGGGAGAACAAAGAAAACTGTGTTAAATTTTAAGCGAACCACTTCTGCTTTCTGTCTGTTCATGTCCATGGTCAATGGTCAGAGGGAATTCACTGGAGTCATAATCTAAGTGAGACCCTGCAAATGGATTTTGGGCTGTGACTGCCCAGAACCTGTAAAGTGGGTGCCCATCACCCCTTCCCCCCGCCCCTTTTTAATAGCAGGGAGTTGAGAAAGATTCTGTTTTTTCAGTTGCCATCTACTAATGAGGTCCCCTCAGGAGAGCCAGTGTGTTCACCTCCACCCTTGCTGTGGCTGTGCCCAGCCTGCTCCCTCACATGAAGAAGAGGGCACTTACACGAGTGGATTTACATCCTGGGTTTTTATGCATGGCAGGGTGATGGCATCACATGTAAAGAACACATGTTTTGGCAGCAAGAACGACACATGGAGTGATGGAAGAGAAGGAAAAAGAACAACAACAATGCAAAACTTAGAGTAGCAAAAGACAAAGCCCCCTGTGGCTGGCACTTCATCAGAAACAGGCCAGTCTCCTTTGTGCACTTTCATCTCCAGGGAGACTTTAGCAGGGTGGGTGTTGTTCCATCCTGTTTTACAGGTGATGAAACAGATCCCAAAGAGTAAACTACCTTTCCCAAGCTCACATCGACACGCTATCTAGGAATTGACCCAGGATGCAGACTCTTTAAGAGTAATTTCATGTTTTACACCATGACAGTACGAGCCCATGCTAGTCCTCAGCATTCACATAATTATCAAAATAGTTTATTAACTGCTGAGGCAGGAATGAATTCTCTCTGTTGTATTACTATTTAAAGGAAATTTCAGAGCAACCACAAAGATTTGTAGACAAAAAAGACATTTAATTCCCCATGACGTTTCAGTTTCCATTTGTTTGTTTGGTTCCGACTCCTGGTGAGCCGACGGATGCAGTAGAGTGGTCCCCGGGGGTCTTCAGGGCTGTAATAGGTGCAGACTGCTGTACCTTTCTCCCACAGGGTAGCTGGGGGGTTTGAACTGCCAACCTTGCTCTTAGCAGCCGAGTGCTTAACCACTAGGCCCCCACATGTCTCTCTTGGGAAATTAACTTAAAAAAAACAAGTTAGAGACAAGTCAGTTTATCACACACATCTCTTCCTTGTCTGAGTTATACATTGATGTTCACTATTTATAGCATTTTAGTAGAAATGCCCACAATGGATCCTTTTTGGAAGCCCTCTGAAACTTTGCGGTAGCATTGAAGAGGACATGACTGTTACAATGACTTCTTATCCTCAAGAAAACGGAGGTCATTAAATATCACCTGTAAAAGCCAACCTCCACTCAGCTGTGATGATTATGAAAGAGGATCTTTAACTCAGGGTTCTGGGATTTTGTGCAATAAATGTGCTATGTTCAGGAAAATACCTAGTCTTTCAAGAGTATTCATTTCCCCCTGATTCTTAAAATCACTAAAGCCACTTTAATCAGGAGGGTTCGCGTTTCTGTATAGCAGGCCATACTGCTGAACAGCCAAGGAAAACTGTCAAAGTACTCATCTTTCAACGATAAATCCTAAATAGAATGGAAATGTCTTTTCTATTGTCATTTTTTGGTTAGGAGACATTTTCCTGGAAATAGATAAGGGAAATAGATAAGAACACTAATAAACAATGGGTTCAGTAATTATAGTAAATAAATACTTCTGCATCTAAGAACTGAAGTTCCTTTTCTTTCTTTTTTTTTAAAACATTTTATTAGGGGCTCATACAACTGTTATGAGCAATCCATACACACATCAATTGTGTAAAGCGCATTTGTACATCATTCTCAAAACATTTTCTCTCCACTTAAACCCCCGACATTAGGTCCTCATTTTCCCCCTCCCTCTCCCCTCCCCCCTCCCTCATGAGCCCTTGATAGTTTATAAATTGGTATTTTGTCATATCTTGCCCTAACGTCTCCCTTCACCCACTTTTCGGTTGTCTGTCCCCCAGGGAGGAGGTCACATATAGTTCCTTGTAATCGGTTCCCTCTTTCCTACCCATTCTCCCTTTACCCTCCCTGTTTTGCCACTCACACCACTGGTCCTGTAGGGCTCATCCTCCCTGGATTCCCTGTATTTTCAGTTCCTATCTGTACCAGTGTACATCCTCCGGTCTAGCCAGACTTGCAAGGTCGAATTCGAGTCATGGTAGTGGGAGCGGGGAGGAAACATTTAGGAACTAGAGGAAAGTTGTATTTCTCATCATTGTTACATCGCACCCTGACTGGCTCATCTCCTCTCTGAGACCCCTCTGCAAGGGGATCTCCAGTGGCCTACTAATGGGCTTTGGATCTCCACTCCGCACTCCCCCCATCATTCACTATGGTAAGATGTTTTGTTCTGATGATGCCTTATACCTGACCCCTTCGAAACCTCGTGGTTGCATAGGCTGGTGTGCTTCTTCCATGTGGGCTTTGTTGCTTCTGAGCTTGATGGCCGCTTGTTTACCTTCAAGCCTTTAAGACCCCAGA